GATAACCTTTCAACTTGTTAGGATTATTTTCATGTGATGCATAAAAGCACATTCCCATCATCCTGCTTAGTGGGTTCTGTGTTCCCTCCACCATATTCTGACTTGATTCAACAGTGCACCTCTGTTTTTTTTTTTCTTTCTTTTTACAAGAACACAGAATAATTATAATAATAATCGGATGCTCCTTGCTTGCTGATGCACATATATAATTAAAATCCGCCACACTGACAAAGAGCAGACACTAAAGAAGCTCTACCAACCTATTATACCCATGACACATATGTACAAAGAAGCTTTCATAAATAATTTCACTTCTTGTAAGCAGGAAGCTTTCCTCTTTTCATGTTTCTCACTGCGCCTGTTTCTTTTGTTTCCAGCTGTATGTTGTGCTGACATCTATAAGCAGCTCAGCATCGACTCTTTATTACTGGACTAACAAGCGCGAACAAGCTTTCTGCTGATACTTTAGTTTTCACTGTTTAGTTGACATAAAGAGCCATCTGTCTCACAAAACAGCAATAAACAACATATTAGTTCCTCAAAGAAAAAAAAACTCTCAAATGTTGCTGACATTCACAAAATCTTCAGTTCTTCACTTGACCCCATTGTACTTCCTACACCAAGAACTAGACTCAAGATAATTTGCATATTGCACGGTACTGACTTACAAACTCAGAGTTCAGTAAGTAGAGAAACAGTGAAGTTGACACAACAGGTGTTGAAAGTCTGCAGCTGTGAGACAGACTCTATAACAGGTGTCTCAGTTGGAAAACCTTAATTCTACGCTTTTGTTTAGTTGGTTTTTAACCCTCAGCGTAGTGAAGTTACAGCAGTTGGTTTGTGTGTCTGTCTGTCTATTTGTTTGTTATCCGCTAAATTGGTAACGGTTAACTTTCAAGGCCTGAAACTGTAAAGGTAGACAGTAGAGCCCATAACTTCGATCTGGTGGATTCTGCTAAAATTGCTTTGTTCACAAGTTATGTAGTGATTTGTACTTTCAAAAGGGAAGTTTGTGCTGCTCTGTCAGACATAATCATCACTGGCAGTGTGTAAGTAAGCTTTAGAAACTACCTACAACACAAACATATTTATAGTGAAAAGACTTTGCTATCACAACACTGTCTTTGTTCAGTTTCTGGCAGCTGCCTACTGTTGACCGCAAGCATATTGCAGAACGCCGAACTTGAGCGTGCGCCGGGCGTAGGCGGATATTGCATGTGCGAGGGAGAGCAAGGACACGTGGTCATGATTGGGCTCCACGGCGAGGGGCGTGGCACATTCATTCAGATCTATAGCATGTGAGTTACCACGAGGTCGATTTGTGTACGTGTGAAATTTGCTGGTGAATCCGTGAAGCTAAGACTGTACTGCACTGACTCTTTGGTTAGGCTGCTCCACCCTTGAAAGTGTGGCACGTTTTCGGATGTGTTTTCCTGACTATTACACTGCAGGTATAATATAGCTGCAATATTTAACAATAAAAAAAGCATCATACTAAACCAACAGTTGTTTGAGACCATTTAATAGCACTGGGCAAGCCTCATGCAATTAAAAAGTCTGCAACTGTTCTCAGATCAGACTGGATACCGTATGTGTGATGGATCATCTATACACCTTGGTAGAATGATCGTATCAACTTCAGGGGGGATGCTCATCGTACATGCTATAATACTGTATGCACGCAGCACCGAGGGTCAGTCCCCTGGTACTTTTCATTAATACCTGTAACCGGGTATACAATAAAAAGAAACAACATTTGGATGCTTCTTTCTTCATCTGAGGCACCTGGAATGTATGAAAAACCAACAACAAAATCTACTCTTGTTTCTTTTTCAGCTCTTAGCCATCAGCACCAAGAAGCGCAGATCAAAAGGTTTGAGACCACATTGAAAATCTACATTTTATGTGTCAACCTGGACATAATCAGAATATTTGAGGATTGAGAAACACAACACAAGAAGTGATGACATGTAAAATGAAAGAGATATATTTTAAATTCTGCACCATTGAAGCAAATTAGTGTCACTGACCAGGTTAGTTCTGTTGGATAAAAGTCAGATCGCCTTGAGCTGCATCCGTCTATTGGAGCAGCATCCAGGTGACACTGTCTAACAGCTGCTAACATATTACTCTCATATCTTTACAAAATATTTTCAGAAAGCCTATCTCCCAATCATAATATCCTCTGTCTGTCCCCAGCATTTGGACAGAGACGGGAAAGAAAGCTGTCATGTCTCCTGCTGCAGCCACTTGGAGTAGTTTGAGGAGGGAAATGAAAAACTGCTGCTTCGATGTTAAATCTGTGTTAAATATGTCATTTAATATTGTTGTTTTTAGCTCTTTCTAGTATCTACAGTCGTCCTCAAATGTATTCATACCCTCCCATGAAAGAAGGAAAAAAACAGCTGTCAGTGAAATGAGTTGAAATTGACAAAAGTAGTAATAAATAAAAATGTACCGGTAATGAAAATCAGACTTCTGCACCTGTTGACAGGTGTTTTGATTTTCTGCTCTAATTTATCCGGGACAGTTTTATGTATTAATTTTTTTTAATTATTCTTTTCAACCACAATTCAAAAGCAATGTCTTATTTCACTAAATTATAATTTAGCAAATTTTTATTTATTTATTTATTTTTTCAGTTTCAAGTTATTTGAGTGATTATTGTGAATTTTGACTTTCCTTTAATGGAAGGGTATGAATACATCTGAGGACGACTGTAGCTCTGACAGCTGTTGTACATCCCCTTTCTTTAAACTTTCAACAATACCATCTGATTTTTAGGACTATTTTATTTGCATGTCTGATGTTATCACACAATGCTGCTGTTGTAGCTAAATCTGTCTTGAAAACCAGGCTGCTAACCTCAGTGGGACTTAAATAAAGGTTAAAGAAAACCTTTTCTTTTAAACTACAACATTAAAAACGATTATTCAACTCCAAGAGACCAGAAAAAGTGAGTACATTGGCTCCATCTCACCAGCCTTAACTAGCTGGAGGGCAGCAACTGCTGTTTGTTCTATGTAAGATTTTTATGGTAAAGTAAGATGTCAAAAAGTCTGATGCTAATCTTAACCCAATTTTGACCCCTTGTGCAGTTACTGCAGTTTGGCTTTGTAGGGCAGAAAAACAGATGTGAATTCATGCTGTGTAATAATAAATATACCTTAGTGCAACGATTTCTTCGCCTGAAAAAGAAATCAGGTCAGAACAACAGACGGGCCGACATCAAACACGCAGACAAAACACAACAATAACCGGGCCCTAATTCCAACCACACTGTACTGTAATAATGAGAGCTACCTTGAGCAGGCCCTGAACAAACAGGCCGGTGTCATATTTGAAGGATGAGTCTGCCCTGCAGAGGCGAGAGCACTTCCTCTCAGCCGGGGTGAGGAAGAGGCAGAGAGTCCGCACAATCTGCAAGCAGACAGGCAGATTTGTCAATCAACACAGCGACTGTTTAAACGGAGAAGACTTCAGAAAACTGGTTGGGATTGTTTACGGTTACAAAACTTGGGAGCGTATTCACAGCTGTTTGTCATGAGCAGGCCTGTGCAGGTGATCACACAAAACCGGCCCTTTTGTTTTAAACTGGATTCTGCTGCTTTGGATCTAAGCACACCGTCAGCACAAAATGTACTTTAGAAGCTACCTTTCAGAACTAAATTTACTAAAGAAGGCACGCTTGTTGAAGTCCTTAATCTGGCATTAAGCTAGAGGCTAGTTGTTAAGATACAAAAAAATAACAACTTTTGATTTAATTGGTGCTTAATTCAAGCCTCAAGCCAAAGAAACTACAAATTAATGCAGTGTTTGCTATTGATATTCACTGAGAAAAACTGCGGCTGCTTCACACTGTGGGTCTCGCAAGCGGTGTGCAGCCATCACGTCCAACTTCTCTCGTCTTCTTAAATCAGGCATGTGCATGTTTAAGGTAGCTTATATGCTGTCTCATCTCATTTTCAGAGTGGAAGCGTCAACTGTGCTGCCAAGACCAGACTGCCATTCAAAATAGTGAAGCGAGGCTGTAAAAGTGCGAGTGGGGCTCATTAAACACAAACAGCACACCGCACTTCAAAACAGCTGAAATTATGTAGATGTATCACAAGTGTGTGCAGCCGCTAATACAGTAAATTTACCTTATTTACTTTCTCTGGGTTGCTTCCAACCACGATTGAACAGCCGCACGTCTGCAGATGAGAGCTGATGGCCCTGAACCGCAGAGACAAAGACATGCAAATTAGAGCCAATTAGCTTCATTTGGCATTGCTCTAATTATTAATGACAGCTTTCAAGAATAACAATTGAGTCAGAACTGAGTCCAAAAAAGCATTTCGGAGCCTCTACAGGAAAGAGCAGTTAAGATGGTAACTGACTCTGAGCCAGCGGGGAGTTACATTAGCTTAGTGATCATTCAGAGTTCTCATGGAGTATGAATTGGATTTTTGCGTTCTGATCATATTTTTGGGAGCGTGTCCATGTGACAGCTCATAAAACGGATCACTTCTATAGCAAATCTTTACAATAGCTCATTTCTCAAGGCTTGCGCTATAAATATCTGATTCCAGTTCCAGTTTCCAGACACTTTGTCATCTCTACAGGACGCCGAGCTAATCCAGTTCATCTCCGAGCAATTTGGAGCTCCGCAGACGGACTGGACTTTACAGGCTCACAACACTAAACAGCGATTTAGCTTTCGTCCTTTCTCTGGAGATAACTTCAGCTAAGTGGAGAGCTATTACTCATCATTGGAAGGTTGATGGGTGTTAAATGGGCATTGTTCATCATCTGTCTCCATTTGCCTGCACCGGATTACTTACTTGTGGAGGAAATCCTCGTGGCAGCTGTCCCCGATGTCATCATCATTTAGCACGGTGTCTTTTATCTGCTCAGCAGGAGTGGAACAAAATGAGTCATTTTTAACATTGGCGTACAACAAAGACAAAAGGTGCTGATGGGTGCATTTGCAAGGTGCTGAGAAGAAAATAAAAAAAAAAAAAGGGAAAAGAAAAACAACAGCAAAAGATTCCACAGAGCTTCTTTGTGCTTTTGCGTTTCTTGTATTTGCATATTAAAAGGGAACAAATGTGTTGAATCACACTGGGTGGTAATGTAGGCAGAGAGAGAACCTTGTGCGAGCAAACTTCTTGAAAACAGAAGTTATTTAAACAAGCAAAGTAATGAAAAGGAAGAAGTTTTTGTCTATACATTTCATATGGGGCTGGAATTCAAACTCCTGCTAAGTTCCTTTCAGTCACTGCCAACATGACGTCTAGATGATACACTATTAACTCTGCCTTCGCTTTGACATTTAAGTGGGCTACGTTTTTGAAGGTCTTTGGATTAAAAATGGAAATGACAACAATTCCAACCAGAGTATTTCATGCACAATGAATGACAATGCCTTCTGCCTGCTTTCACTGAATATAACTGATGTTTCGGCTTTTCATGTTGAAGTGGTTTCCAAGCTGGTGCCGTCATATGGAAAAAAAACAACAAAAAAAAAGTATTTTGTGCACCGGAGTGTATGTGCTGCTTACATCTATATCTTCGGGCACACAGTGTGTCTTCATTGAGGCCAACAGCTCCATGATAGGGACAATCTCCAAGCTCAGCACCGAGATGATATTGTAGCCCTGAAGTTACAGAAAAGAGAAAACAATAAAGTTAAACACATTTTCTAAAGACAGATGATCGAGGTGAGGAAACCAACGATGATCATTTGTTGCTGAGATTTTTGGGATTTAATAACTCATGTCAGCCTGCATCTGTTCTACATTTTCATCAATTTACAATAAATATTGCAGTCACGAACGGCAACAAAACCGTTTTCAAATTGAAAAGAAGAAACAACGAGGGACTATTGTTGCTGCTGACTTTTACAGTATACAGATACAGTGTCGACAAAATGAAACACATTACAGCTACACTCAAATTAGCCTGCTTCATGGAGCGTGGAGGGTGAAAATTAATCAACCCCCTCCTGATTTCTTCTACTTTTGTGTGCATCTCATTAGATCTTTATAAAACGAGGCAACCTTTAAGTCATAATTGTATTTATGGAAGCACAAAGTTTATCCAATACTTAACTTAATACTGAACTTAATATTTTGACGTACAACGTCTGGCAGCAACAGCTGCAACCGAACACTTCCAATAAATGGAGATCAGACTGTGACGTCAGTGTGGTGCAACTCTGGCCCACAAGTTTTAATGTCGGTGTTGGCCTCCATAATCCAATATACAATGAAAAAGGAGCTCAGCTCTTAAGCAAATGAGCTAATTGCGGTACTGGTACAACTATTTTCAAGTAACTGAGCTTCTGTAACAATATCAAAGCAACCCTTTGTTTGACAGATTACTATAAGAATAACAAACTTGTTCCTTTATATTCAACAACAAACGCCGAAGATTTGAATGTCAAAATAAGCAGCTGTACATGTACTTTGATCTATACAAACACAATCTAAAATCCAGAGGGATTAATGATTTGAATCAGCAACTATCTAAAAATCTATACATACAGGGATCAGACAAGATGTTCAGTACAAACTTGTTTTTAATGTTTGGTCGGTGCCATAAAAGTAGTGAGGATTGATGCCCAGCCTTAAGGACAGTAAACAGCATTTGGCAGCTATACGAGTCTTGGCAAGCAGGACTCTGACATATACTAAGTATATGTAAGTAAATAAATCTTCTTGGGCAACACCAGAGCACTAAAAACAACGAGTGCATCAGACAAAATAAAAGCTCTACTAAAATATTTACCATATCAAGGTAAAACCAATAAACAGGGGCGTGATAAACACATTCAGAACATACAAGGCTGACAAACAGTCGTGTGCTGCTTCCACTTTTACAGCCACGTCTGTAACAGTGATGTGTTTTGAAGCAGCTTTTCATTGTGTTGCGTATCACGTTATTCTGTCCAGCCCTATTATTACCTGATCACTAGTTTTCTCTGCAGGAGTCCTTTCAGCTAATTAGCTAACTTACTTCTCTGTGTCGGGAGACAGCAACGTTACTATTCTGGCAATGTTGCTGCAATCCCATATAGATAAAATAAATGTGAAAGAACACTTAGTACCCATTTAAAATCAGGGACTAAGGTTAAATCAGCTTGGAAAGTAAGTCTTATGAGTATAAATGGAAATAATTTGCCTACTCTTGTTTGAATACTAAGTCCAGGAGTGAGATGTCAAAGAATCAGCTGGAACAGCAGGGTACCTTCTGCATCCAAATGCGTCCCTTGCGGATAACGTGCTTTAGCCTCTCCACACAGATGGTATGCAGGGGCAGGTAGAAGGCCAGCTCTGTCTGAGGCAGAATAATGGACAAGGCACACGTATTCTTGTCCCCCTTCAGCTCACCATCGAAGATAAGGGACACAATAATGACTCCCTTTTCTGCCAGGACAAAGAACTTCACATCCACGGCGCCACACTCCGCACTGCGCAGGATCTCCCCATTAAGTGTGTGATTAGCCAGAAATGTGACCTCTCCATCACTGAGGAACATCAACTGGTCACCCTTTGGTGCCCAGATGTGGCGCACCCGTGGACCCAGGATGTTGTCCCAGTAGGCGAAGGTGGCAGCCAGCAGCGGGCATTCTCCTTCTACCGCTACCTCAGACTTGGCCACAGCTGGCGACTGGGGTGGACAGCCAGAAGACATTGGAACCGGAAAAGTCTTCCCAAGAGTGGATTATGATAAACCTACATCACAAACACAGAAAAAAACAGTTGTGATTATAGCACCAGTACTCAAGTCAGCGACTGCAAGAACAGTCAATTCTTGATCAACAATAGAATCTAAATTCTGACAGTCCCTTAAACAACCTATAATCTTCGGGCTCAATTTGACCCCATTCAATGCTTAACATCTCTAAATAAGTAATCAACACAGTTTTTTCAGTTTTATTCATAGGGCTATTTACACATAAACCTGGGTAACAATTTTAATTATGATATTTTCTGGAGGTTTAAATTGCTGGGGTCAAATTGAACCCAAGGATAAAAGATGTCAGTTCATTTGAAGGCATCTGATAAGCCAGGTTTCATTGCAGAAGGATTAGAAATAACCACATCATTGGGCTACTGAGGGAGAAAATATCTTGTTTCTTGTGGATATCGCAATTGCCAAGTAAAACAGTTGACACAACAGTTTAAGCCTTGGATCAGATGTTTTGCAACATGTACAAGGTGTGACTAATAAATAATAGCACTGTGCTTATGTCAGTGGAGCCACAGTAGTACACATGGATCAATGGGCAAACATAAACAACCTCTGAAAGTTTCAATTTGCTCCGATTAACTACAGCTGAATCACAGCATTAGTTTCATTACCTAATAATGATTAAAATGCAGCCTTTAAGGTTTATGTTCTACATTGATTTATATTGCAGTCTCCATTTCAAATTAATGAAGTGTTCAGCGCTGTCAGAGTAACAGAAATCACATCGTTTCACTTCCACTAAAAAAAAAAGACTAAGTGGAAATGAAAGTGATTTGTTGGAGATGTTTACCAAGTCAGCTGATACTTATTTAACCCGCCCAAAAGAGACTTCTCTTTCTCTGACAAACATGGCGTTTGACAAACACAACAACCGTAACGTTTATACTATAAGGACGAAGGCTTCAACAAACCCCATTTAAAAAAATGAGTAGTTTAAACTTTAATTGATTTTTTTTAGTGGAATACTCCTTTGTAGCAAATTTACCCGAAAACTCTTTTAATCTTAATGGGCTCCAGGAGAATTCGGCATTCATATTTATCATACCTATACTTTGTTTTAGGGAAAAAAACATCTTCATTGATCCGTACTATCCGGTGCCCCCGCTCACCAACCTATACCTAGCAACGTTACATTACTGTAACTGTTAACGGGGGCTTTAAACATTTACTGTTATGTAAAACGCTAAATAAGAAGTTAACTTGCGAGTTGATTTATCATAAGTATGCCGAATTTACCAGCAACTCCTGTTTATGTAAAGTCAGAGGCTGTTGTGTTGCCAGGCGAATGTTTATATCCGTAGCAAGCAATGTGGCTTTTAATTGACAGCTTTTGCAACCGAACTCAATGCTACACAGCGACACTATTAATAACCGCACGTAAACAGGGTTAGAAATCAGATTTACGCTTTGCAAACTTGACCGATATTTGGGCAGGTAGTTAACATGTAGCTACCAATGTAGCTTGACGTTATAGAAGTAAATAAACGAACTATCACTGGCGTATAACCAATTATAAGCTAACCAAGGCTAGCTTGCTAACTAGCCAAACACACTGACAAAGCAAAGGAATGATATTGTTGCGACTTACTTGTTCGCTCTTTTTTGGTGCCGAGCCACACCGCTGCGATTCTACAGGAGAGAGGTTTAAATGTTAAGGGAAAATAATCATAGTAGGTTTGTCTGTTGCCGCCATAACCTACAGGTAAGTGGTGATTAGCCAGTTGCAGTGTCGTTGCACTTCTGTTGTGGTCTTCATTGCACTTCCTGATACGTCTCACCTACGTCAATGGCCGGAGTGGAGAGCAGCGACCTCTAGCGGCGCAGCGAGGCGCGACACTGAACACTGACTCAATGATGTCATTCCTATTCCTGGAGGCCACCTGCAGAAAATTAGTTATTTAAATTCATTTGCATGGAGCCTGGTCATGCAAATGGATGCACATCTGCAGGGAACACACATTGTACTTGCCTTCTAATTTCATCTTCTGACGTTAATAAATTAATGGCACACCATTTCAGTCCTGGAGAGTGCTTCATATATATATATCCAAACCCCCCCCAACAATTGTCCTGCTATAAATTCCACCATATCACCCAAGGGTGACTGGTTGCAGACGTCCAACAGGAGAGCTTCACCTGCACCAACAGACATTAATTGTGCTATTTATCTTCCTTGAGGATGTGTTTGACATTTTCACATTTTAAACCTCATTGTTCCTCTTTCACCTCATGAAAGGGCTCATCCATTGTAGGAATTTCCCACCCTGACACATTCATTGAAGACACCTCGCCAATAAAAGCAGTGGGCGACGTGTGTTATCCAGTCAAAGGAAGGCGCTGACTGGAGTTTGGTTGATTTACCGTAAAACCACACATACCTTCACAGTGACTCCGCACCGTGTACTGTATACACACTAATTCACAATATTATTCCTAATGGTCTCAGCAAGACAGTAATGGGACGGCTGACGCAGTTGGTTCTAAATGGCTCATCAGCAATTTAGACCCTGAATTGCTTCGGCAAACAGTCAGCCCTAATTATGTAACACAATTACACTGAGAGCTGAAAGTGTTATACTCAGTTTTACCGCCATCTAATCACAGTTTTGGTGCCGTCCTGCCTCAGCCCTCGTAATAGATTCTATACGTCGGACCGCAGGTGGTGTCTATTCTGCTCGCTCAGTCTTCGGCTGCTATTTTCAATTTCTTCAGAGGCCTCTTGTGGCCTCTTGCAATCTCAGACTGCAAATCTCACAGAGTAAACTAGTAATAGACAGGCTACAAATACCAAGCAGCTATCTTCTATAGGCTCTCCAGGTATCTGAACCTAATCCTTTCATAAACCTCCCCTACATTATACTGTATCCTCCCTTAGCACAGTGGGCTCCCCGAAGTAAACAGTCTGATGAGTGTTGGGTCACAATAGATCGATAAATCTGTAGATCTTTGCTGGTTCATGTCTACATCACAATTATTAGGTTCTTTTATTGCTCTAATTTGTCAATTGAGTTATTCTGTACCGATCTGCTCCCTTTAAAGCCAAACTGCTGTCTCTGCTCACGCTCACAGGAACAGTTTTAGGAAATATAATCATGGTGTTGCCACAATAACAAGGAAATTTTAGGAAGTAGCTGTAACAGCATGTGACAACAAGATGTGACATGATATTTAGGGAGCTTTGGGGTGTTGGGCTGCTGGTGTAGCCACATACATCACAGAGTGGCATCAATTTCATCTTACACTGTGAATCCCAATTTGTTCATGGTGCAGAATGTTAATGTAGAATCTACACAAAAGTCAGAACAAAATTACACAAAAACTTGCCACAAAAACATTTTTTAAATGCGAGTTTTACTGAGATACATATTTACATACATTCAGTTTAATTGGCTAAAGCTCCATCAACACATACATGTGCACTTAAAATATATTTTAATAACAAATCTATTGTTTTTACATAATCATTTCCTTCGTTTTTTGTCAATAATATGAATAATTTCTGCCTACTTTACACAAAAAACATTATTACATCAAATTTTATGTTGAACACACAAATATGTTGCTGTCTTAACACAAGAGTGCCACGTTTATCTAGTTTTTTCCAGCCTATTATTTTCTAGTACACATAATTTAATGACTATTAGTGAACTAAAAATGACAGATTATTTCATTGCGCTTTTATTTAGATATTTCTAGTCAAATGAGAACCATGTAACACAGTCAGCTTGTGTTATTTTAATTAAATTTTACTTATGTTTGCGGTCTGTTTCCAGTAAACATTTAATTGAGCAGTTTTGGACATGGCATCAAGCACCAGCCTCCAGGGCTGAAAAAGGAAGGAAAGGCCCCAAAGTGCAGTTTCTTAAATGGCCACTTGAGGCTTACTCAAAAAATAAGTCAATCCCCACAGACCCCGATATTAAAGTACTCAACTTTACAGCAGAAATTAAACATGTTTGCAGTTTGGTTTTGGTCTTTAGAGCCAGTTTCGCTGTTTGTATCAACTGAATGGGGTGTGAATTTTTCTATAACGCGCCTGTTTAAATTATATTTACCTTTTAAGTTATGCATAATTAAGAGTGTGGCTGCCTTGAGATACAGGTGGGATCTGTGTTTGGACAATCCATGGTCCAGAGATGTTTGCATGGTCCGTCTCAAATCCACTCATGCTGCACCTCTTTACTCATTTTTCGATTAGAGGAGAGTTAGAAGTCAGGTGCTGCCAAGATGGTGATGTCATGGAGGGTTGCTTTATCTTTATATCGCTGCTTCTTGAGTCTGGTAAAGTGACGGCATTCTGTCATTTAGATAAAGGTCACTTATATGTTAACGTTCCACTCGGCTTCATTCAGATATTCCCACGGCCCTGATGCAGAGAGCCGCAATGCACATGTGATATTTACCAACACTTGAGATAAGATCCATATGATGTAATCTTGTACATCTATTGACAACACCAAGACTGGCATGATATTACATGAGGCCAATACATTCAGATCAAAGAACTAAATAAGTGTATTTCTCAACGTGTCAGACTATATCTATAAAGATTTTCTCTCACCTTTTGATTGATTTTGGCAGCATAAGAACATGTGGTTATATAGTGACTATATATCCAGTCTAAATTGTTCTTAAAAATGCTGAATATTTTTCTTCCTATCTTTCCATTTCCTTCCTCCGTCCCTTCCCAGTACTGACATTTTTCTTCTCTTATCTTGAGGAAGCCTCTCCCCAATATTTTGTCTGAGTTCTGTCAGCATTTGCTCCATTGCCAGCCTTTCTTTCTGTGTTTATGAGACGCATGAGCAACACTCACAGTTCCCTTTTTTTTAACAGCAAACTCAGACAATGTGTGGACGGTCAGCCAGCCAGTCAGCTGAAAAAAGGAAAGTTGGCTCCTACTGAAGTTTTCAAGGTCACTGACCGTCAACAGCCACTCCAAATTGCGTACCCCCTGGCTGCCCTACTGATGTGATCGCACTCTGTGAGCAGCTCTGCAGCCTTCGTACTGCAACAGAGGCTGATTCCAACAAAAGCTTCCCGCTCCACTGTATTTTTAAAACACAAGAAGAACATTCTCGGTAATTACTCATGCAAATTAAATATTAATGTGGTATGTTTTGCTTTCTTTCTTTCCTTTTTTTTAGTCTATACATGGTGTTCTGTTCTGATAAAGACCCCGTGAGGTCAAAGGTGTCTTCATTTAAACCATAATTATGCCCAATTAAGAGCATTTTAATGTACTTTACCTCTGAAACTTGCTTTACATAAATGCGCCTCAGGATCTTTTCCCTTCATGTTATAAATCTTTTCATCTTCAAAAGCACTGCAAGGTTCCTGGACCTCAGTTCATGAGAAAGTGAACAAGCAATTGGCTTTTTGTATTCCTTCCAAATTCTCACAAATTCTATATTATTGCCACTGGCCAGCCTCCTACTGGGTGTTGGTATAACGATAGCAAAACTACATTACATGGATCAGATTTACCTTTTTAGGTGCTTTGTGTGCACAGACTGCACAGTGATGCAATCAGACTCTCTAAATACCTGCAGTCAAAACAGACCCGACCAGTAACCAACTTACTGGGACTGTTAGCACTCTGTAATGGTATTACTTTCTTCCTTGCAGGTTTTCTTGCACCAGGACAAAGGCTTGGACAATCGAGTTTGCTGCCCACGATGTACAGTATTTCTACCGTTCCTCCCAGCGGCTTCAACTCCAGTGTTGAATTCGTACTTTTAAATTTTTTTTATCATTACATTAAATGAAAGATGCAGATTTACAATAGGAACTTTCCGCCCACACAATATTTTGCAAGTAAATGAGCTAATTCTTAATATTTAAGCTGGTCTCCACAATTTCCCAGTAGAGTTCTGGTCTAGACTTTGACTGGGACACCCTAAAATGATGATATTCTCTTCCGCTGATTGTTTCTTCATCATGTTGGCTGTACGTTTCGAATAATTGTCTTGTTGGAAGGTCCAATGTTGCCCAAGGCCAAGTTTTTTTTTCTGCAGACTGCCTCGTGTTTTCCTCCAGAATCTTAATGTCTTTCTCTTTTCTCATGATTCTGCCTCCTCTGGCAAAGTTGCCTGGCTCAAAACCCCCTACTAATAGTACTACATTGCACCATGCTTGACTGTGGGGATGCTGTTCTTGGGGTTTAATGCTTTTCCTTCCTTTCAACAGGCAAAAGCAACATCCTTGTGTCCAAACAATTCCGCTTTCACCTTTTCTGACCACAAAACTGATAAACAAAAGCTTTCTTCTTTTACCAGGCGAGCTTTTTGTTTGGCTGACTTGGAGAAATTGAGTCTTTCTTGGTCAGCATCCACAGAGACCAGCCTTGTTCATTGTCTGCTGGAGGAGGTGCCTTCAGATGCTGGTATCAGAACAGCTCAGACTCAACAGGAAGGTCTCAATGGTGATACTTGGATTCTTTTTGGCCTCTCACACTATAACACTTGCCAACACTGAGGTCAGCTTTGGCTTCTTGCCACGCCCTTTAAGACATCTCACAGTGTGGAACTCCTTGTACTTTTTGATGATGCCACATTTTGATATGACTTTATAAAATATTACCATCTAATGAGCAGCCACAATCTACAATTCTCAGTCAGTGATGCACCCTAATAGCAAGTTCTTTAGGCTTTGAGGTTTTAGCCATGACTTGCAATTGACTGCTATTGAACTACAGAGCTGCTGTTCTAAATTTATAGTGTTTTAGATTTAATTAGAGAACACTCTCA